GTGAGTCTAGTACACAGCCAGGGCTGGGCTGCCCAGTTTCCTCTCCCCAGGCCAAGGACAGGTGGGGTGAGAGCTGGGACCAGCTCAGACCTCATGCCTGACGTTTCCTCTACATTATTGAGAAGCCTGGGTTAGGATTACTTAAGGCTGTCCTGGAAGACGGAAGGCAGTGTGAGCCAGCTCCCACCTCAAATGTCCTAGCTCCCCTAGATCAGCAAGCAGCCGTGCCCAGGAGGGTTGAAGAGGGGGTACTCACAGCAGAGCTGAGAGCACAGCACTCTGGGACGTGGCCCCTCATGGGAAGGGCCCACCACGCGGCCTCTGGTGCCACTTCGGCTGCACTCACTGTGTCCGGGGTAGTGATGGAGCTGGGGTGGGTGGCAGGGGTGGCGGCGTAGCCTGGAATGGAGGGTCTCACCGCAGACGTACCACTAAATGGGGCCAGGTCTCATCACCAGGGGCACAGTGCCTGGTGCCAACTCTGGTGCTCAGTGCATTATGAGAGACTTTAGCTCTGAAGAGACGCACTGACAGGTGAGGGTGGCTGCTATGACACACAGAGGGTCACAGCGTGACCTGTTCAAGGCCACAGATGGCAGAGATGGCTTCATCTGAGGTCTTGTCCTTCCTAATCCTCTGAGAGCTGCTCTTTCTCCCCCTTCCCTCCCACCCCTCCCTCTGACCCCGGAAGGGCTCTTAAGCAGGAGTTGGAGGTTTGGTGGAAGAGCCTTTTCCTGGCAGCTCTGGAGAAGGGGGACTTGTGGTTATGGGTCACTCCAAGGGACTTGCAGATGGGAACACTTCCAAACTCGAGGATTAAGGAAGATTATAAAAGGGCCCGTGGAAAGGGGCCAGCCTCATTCCCTCAGATGTTCAACCCAGGCTTGGCAGTGTAAGGGCGGATTTGACTCCATGGATGACGAACGCCCCTGTGGGGGACGTATACCTGTCTGCAGGTGCCCCTAGCAGGAATTTAAACATTTTTCTGGCATTTCCCTGGATCCTAAATCAAGCCGATCATCCTGGGTCTTGGTGCATTCTCAGAACTGGGAGCCTTGTGTTAAATCGCCCTCTCTGGGCCTCCTGTTCCCGCTGTAGTCACAAATTCCCAGTAATGAGTGCTGGGAAGAAGCCATGGCAGGGCAGCCTGCTAGATTAAGAGCGGAGAGCCCCCGGCGGGGCAGGGTGTTTGCTTTGGCTGGGAGGGTGCCGGCCTGGCTGCTGTTTGCCTGACAGAGGGCCTGATAAGTGGGCTTCACACACAATGCTACACAGTGGGCCCTGGGCCATCTGCTGTGTCGGGACAGGTTAAGCCTGCTGGCCCTTTGGCTCTGACCTGGGGGAAATGCCCCCCCCATGTCCCCCTCTCCATGGCTTCCCCCGAGTCTGCACGGTCACTAAGAAACCAGGAGGTTTTTTTTTTCCTTTGGGAATAACAACTGGATGGTGGGACTTGCATGTGTTTTGATGAATTACTTCCAGGCTTCTGACTGTTTGGAAAATAGCACTCCCAGCTGCAGGGCTGAGAAAGGCTTAGCTCTGCCCTCCAATCCACCCAGGTCCTCCCCTGCCCCCACCAGGCTGAGGGGCACAGCGGAGAGGGCAGCCCTTGCTGGCTGTGGCTTTCAAGACAGTGTGGGCTCGGTGGAGAGAACACTTGGGCTTTGCCTGTTAGCTGAACAGCGTAGGGCGGCGCCCTCAACTGTAGCAAGCCTCGGATCCCCCATTTGTCAGAACAGGGGTCCAGATCTTGCCTCTGTGTGCCTTATAGTGTGTCAAGAGCATACAGTGCAGTACTGTAAATGAAAACCTTCATTAGTGCTGACTAGCCTGTGTGTGCGTACTTGCGTGCACACGTGTGTGTGTGTGTGTGTGTGTGTGTGTTTGTGTGTGTGTGTGTGCGTGCGCGCATTCAATCTTGGGTATTGTTACTCAGATGCCATCCATCTATTTTTGGGTTAATTAATGAACTTAGAGTGTGTGCTATGGCCCACATGTGGAGCTCAGAGTCCACCATGTGGGGACTGGGGATCGAAGCCATCAGGCTTGGCCCTAAGTACTTTTACCTGCTGAGACACCTCACTGGCCCCACCTTGCTTTTTGAGACAGGGTTTCCCATTGGGAAGGGACACTCACTTGTTAGCCTGGGCTGGCTGGCTAGAGAGCCTGGGGCCTGTTTGTCTCCGCTTCGCTTCCCCGGCACAAGGAGTGTGAGTGTGTGTGTCCACGCCCAGCTGTCTACACTGGTTCTGGGCGTGAAACTTGGATCCTTGTGTCTGTCCAGCAAACACGGATGGGGCCATCTCCCCAGCCCTGACACGTATCTTAAGTAAACTGCTCGTGCCGGGCGGTGGTGGCGCATGCCTTTAACACCAACACTAGGGAGGCAGAGGCAGGCAGATCTCTGAGTTCAAGGCCAGCCTGGCCTACAGAGTGAGTTCCAGGACAGCCAAGGCTACCTGGCTACCAAGAGAAACCCTGTCTTGAACAAACAGAAAGTAAAGTGCTCAGGCTTGTTGTGGCCGTCTGGACTGTTGGGGACAGTGCCGGCAGGAAACGCCACTGTGACACCAGCCTTGAGCTTACCTCTCTTATTACGAAAGTACACAACTTAAAAATATTGCTTACTTGTGTGCTCTTGAGGGGAGGAGTGATGGTTTTTATCATGGGGAGGGCTGTAATGGGTCCTTCCTTCCCCTCTGTGTCCTCTGCACATCATCCCCTCTCACCTCCTCAGGGAGGTTTCTGGTCCCCCTGTGGCAGTTAACTTGGATGGTCAACTTGATTGGGTTGAAAAGTGTCTAGGAAGTCAGTAAACCCCATTTCTGGGGGTGTGGCATTTTCAGGGAGGACTAGAAAGCGGGGAAGAGTGACCCTGAATGGAGACGGCTCCGTCCAGTGGGCTAGGGGTCCAGACAGGACAAACGGGGGAAATGGAGAAAGCCTTTTCATCCTTCTGCCCGCTTCCCGGCTCCATCCTGTGAGCTCTTCTTCTCTGTCCTTCCTGCCACCATAGACGGACAGTTCTGACACCACGGGCCCGAGAACTCCCTCCTTAGAGATGGTCACCCCGGTGTTTTGTCACATCAACAGAAAGGTGACGGACACACTCCTCTCCCATCACACCACTAACTTGTTATTCGGATGACAACATTTCTGTCCACAGACCACCTCATCTTCAGTCTGCACTTAGCAGCACAGCCTCATTGTGGCCCCTTCAGTTGTCCCAGCCCCCTCCCCTGCACAGCGGCCCTCACAGCCCCCTCCCCTGCACAGCGGCCCTCGCAGCTCCCTCCCCTGCACAGCAGCCCTCTCCCCTGCACAGCGGCCCTCACAGCCCTCTCCCCTGCACAGAGGCCCTCACAGCCCTCTCCCCTGCACAGCTGCCCTCACAGCCCTCTCCCCTGCACAGCGGCCCTCCCAGCCCTCTCCCCTGCACAGCAGCCCTCGCAGCCCCCTCCCCTGCACAGCAGTCCTCCCAGCCCTCTCCCCTGCACAGCGGCCCTC